TGGGGCTGATTCATATGTCACTCACCCCCAGTGACACGTCTAAGAGAAGGTGATTGAATGAAGCCTTTGGTAAGAGTGTCACTGGTCACTGAAGGTGCTGTCAAAGCATCAGGACCAACCGCTGCGCTGCGGCCAAATGCCTGCTGTCCCGTCTCGAGGGGAGAGTGAGGGGAAGGCCCAGAAGAGCCCCCCACAAAAGCCGTACGTACCTTCAGCTCCTGGGGGTGTGAGGTGAAAGCTCTCACTTTCCGCACTGTCTGTGTCCCCCGAAGGACAAGGGACAGGCGAGTCAGCTGGCCTGTGATGCAGGAGACGTCCACGCGCTGCAGGGAGTGCAGATGGACCTGCCACGTCTGCACGGGTGCCACCAGCCAGCGGTCCCTGCAGCAGGACAGCAGCCATGGGCACTTGTCCTTGAGGACGGCAGCACCAGCCCGAGAGAGGTGGACGGCGCTGCCAGGAGGCTGGGGAGGCCGCACGGGGACAGCCTTGGAGGACGGGGCCGGGGAGACAGCGCTGGGCCGGCCGCTCTCGCCCTCGGCCTCTCACCCTCCCACCTAAGCCAGACGCTCCAGGGTGACGCTGTGGCTTAGACATCGCCTGTCTCTGCACCCAGGACACTGCCTGGCCACTGCTCAGGCCAGATATGTGTCCCGGACAAGCCTCAGTCCCCAAACAGGGGGCGAGGTCCTGCCCCCGCCCGTTCTCAGAAGCACTGCGGGGGATCCTCCGGTTCACAGCGGTTCTGGAGGATTCTCAAAGGGCCGCGAGATCCGACTTCAGAGGAAACAGTAAAGGGACCAGCTCATCCTAATGGGTGGGAGGTGGGGGCGGTCACACCACCGTCCACAGGCATCGAGGACAATGGCCGGCCACGTCCCATCTCCCCAGGAGGGACCACAGCCTGACTCCCTCAGTTCAGCTTGAAGATGCAGCAAGGAAACAACGACAAGAGGCTGCTGGGCCACTCCTGGCACTGTCACTCCTCCTCTTCGTGGGCACAAGACCCGCCCCACGTCTCTCAGGCTGTGGGAGCCGCTCCGGAGCCCAGAGGACGCTGCCCAGGGCCGGGCTGGCCACAGAGCCAGCAGAACCCCGCCTCCCAAAGCAGCAAGCGGCCCGAGGAGCTCCCGCTCTCGAGCTTAGGAAGGGGCCAGGCCCACTTTCAGTCCACCGGCAGCTCCCAGACCTGCCTCCTCCCCACCCCCGCCCTGTCCCCAGACCCGGGCCCGCACACTTACGAGTAGATGAAGACAAAGAAGTCTTTGATCTCCGGGCTTGGACCACTAGCCACCTTCAGAAACACAT